CTCTTTATTAGTATCACGTGATAAAAGATCTGCAATACAGATTTCAAAATTTTCAATTCTTCCAATTCATTCATTTTAATATAAAAAATTTGCGTGTAACACGTCACTTTGGGGGATTAACATAGTAAATTTGTTAAAATTGTGCAACTTTAAGGCTTAATTTCTCCACAACAACATGGCGTATCAACAAAATGAAAATGTCATTTTGTAGAAAAAGGTCTTGGCTTCAAAATGTCATCTTGTTTTTTTTGGTCACACATTTCCATTTTTGGAGGAGTTAAAGGATTTGCAAGACTAATAAAAGTTGTAGGGACTAGGTGTCCTGCAATATACAAGGAAATGAAGGAAATGATTAAATAGCTAAGTCATGTTTGTTTTATTAAAGACATATGATTAATTGTATTTAAAATATGCATTAAAAAAATTGCAAGACTGCACCACTGTGTCAATTAAGCTATCAAGCTGTTATGTTTGTGCATGATTTAAAATTCTTTTGTGCTAATTTAGAGTCCCATCTTTCTTTGCTTATATATAAACTATTGGTTCCCTCCTTATTGGTTGAATGATGCCAAATTGGGTAATGAATACAGAATCTGATTATTCTTTAAAAAAATAATTAAGATATTGGCATATCAATAAGTTAATAATATTCTTAGTATTTTTATCATATATTCTAAAAGCCTATTAATAAATGTTGAAAGTGTTGATATTTATCAGATATTCTTCTAAAATTAATATGGTTGGCTCGGTCTAAAGACCTCCTATTGCTGCGCCACGCGCTCAAATTTCAAAAATTGCAATTTCGTGATTCGCTCAAAAATGCAATAAATTTTTTTAAAAAATGGTTTCACGTGATTTTGGCTAAAAAATTATTTTTCTTACTGCCAAATTTAGATATGATGGTCGAGTATTGGTCTAAATTTAGTAATGATAATCAAAACTAGTCTAAATTTAGCAATGATCCTAGCGCTCAAATTCTCATGAGCATAGTAAAGTAGATATTTTAAAAAAGAATAGAACTTTACAATAAATAATTTTTTTGAGAAAATCTCTTTATTACATTAAAACTAAATACATATTCTATCAACTAATAGAGCTATTTTTTTAAAAGATAGGACAGAAAATGACTTCTATACTTTTAAAATTTGCCCAAAATTTAGGAGGTCTTTAGACCAAGCCAACTATACTATTTTTTAATTAATTATTGGCTTAATTAAATGTAATTAAATTATTGGTTAAATATTTCTAAAGCTCTTTGTGCTAAAATAATATCATAATCTGAATAAAACAAATAAAGCAATTAAAGCAATTAAAGCAATTAAAATGAATAAAAGCAAATAAAACGAATAAAGAGAATAAAACGAATAATGAATAAACAAATAAAACCAAATAAAATGAATAAAACTGAATAAAATGTACATTCAGAACTTGTTAAGACAATGCTTTGATAAACCGATGTTGTTTTATTATCTACCTATCAAATTTACCTCAATGAGCTGATTTTATTAAGGTTTTTTAAATTGACTTTGTTTTAACGAGTTCTGACTGTATTACAAATAGAAACCATGCATTAATACTAAAATCAAAAAAACAACAATAAATAAACAAACAAATAGCTTTTATTGCAAAATAATTGAATTTGTTTCTTTATTGAATTGATCACACAAGTAATAGTCAATTTAAACAGCATCATTTTCAAAGAATCTATCAAAACAATATTATTTAATGTATAAAGTTTAATGATTTTTAATGTTGCATGTTTTTTGATACATCAATCTCAGTTCAAAATCAATCATATTTTATATACTTTAAAGTTTCTTTATTTCTTTTTTTGATAAATAACAAATTTATCCTTTGTTTATTTGTTTTAGGGTAGGGGGAATCACATGCCAAATTATATGGGGCATGCTGCAACAAAACCAGACAAAGTGAACATTGGTATTACCAAGAATTTCAGGGTTCAAATTTAGTTATTATCATCACAATTAGTTTTACAATGTCCCATTTGTTAAGTGATATATAGAATTGCTCCTATATAAAAATAGTTAATATGAAACTAATTTACATCAGATCTACTATGGAACCCAAGAATTATAGCACCATTAGAAGTATTCTGAAGAAAGAACAAGGTGAAAAAATTGCACCTTATATTTTCAAAATAAATGATACTCAAACACTGGAAACTTATCTAAAAAAAGAAAAGATTACTTATGAAATTTACCAAGAAGAAAGAGTTTTCAAAAGAGTATTAGAGAATTCTAGTAAAGAATCAAGAAAAAAAAGAAAACTGGCAGAATAACAAATAATTACTTTTTTTCAACTTTGTTACTTTTTTAATTACCTTTTATTTTCAATCAAGGTCATTTTTTAGTTTCTTTAACTTCAATTTGAGCAACTTGTTGAGAAGTTAACTGTTCTAACTGAGTCTTTAACCTTTTGATTTCCTCTTT